AATTCCTTTTGTGCTACCCCGGGGATGGGTACTGACAGTACACTATCGCATAAAAAAATGCCCCAGGAGAGGGAGGGAGAGATATGTCTCCCTCCCTCTCCCTTTTTCTCCTGGGGCATTTTTTCTCATGACAGGTTTACTTTAATTTTGTGTTTGCGTTCTAGTGATGATCGTGAAACTTGTACACACCCACATATTGGTTTCTCTGTTAGAACTAATGTCATGCTGTGGTAACACATATTAAGCACATAGGAACACTGGGGTGCCATTCACTTCGAATGACACCCCATCCTATTATGTCAACATCCCTGCCCAACCATGTGTTGCATTCCCAAAAAGGGTGATTTATGGTTTTGCACTGATTGAAACCAATTAGGCTATCATAAGACAGAGCACATAAATGTGTGTTAACACACCATGTTGGTGTAAATGTGGCCTCTGGGGCGCAAACTTGCAGTTCTGCTTAGGGCCCAATGTGTTCTTATTTCAGCTCTGGTGCTCAAACATAACAATTGGTTGCTAGACTCAAGCAATATCTGTCACATGAGAGGAGATCACATGTTACCCCATATCTGGAAGCAGGGGCTATTTTCACAGGATAGGCAGTGGCATGCATGGCTTGGGAGGGCTGTCAAAGTGAATATCTCGGGTTGAGGGGGCCTCGTTACACAAACCCTGTCACTTTGCTTTGCAGATGACAATGTCTCTTTAAAGAAAATCTCTTTTGGGGGAACGTGAAAGCAGCTATTGGTGACCTTTTATACTCAAAATGCTAATTGTCGTTCTAATCCATTGGCTTCAAAACCTTGAGACAATTACCTGGAATAAATTTCCTGGTCAGGAGTTCTGACTTCCCCCTGAGTTTCTAATATGCATGCTAGTTCTAGGTCAGTCTTCCAAAGTACTAAAGCCAATGACAGACAGATAACTAGTGTTTTTAAAACGATGTTGCAGTGACAGAATCCATTTTTTTTTTTCTAGAGGTTTCCTTTATAGGAAAACTGCCAGGTGAGAAGTATAGAGGCTGCCATTGCTGTCAGCTCCTTCTGAAAACTGTAGTTTCCTGGCCATTTTCTCATACGGGAAAATAATAACACTTGATCGTGCACAGGTAAAGCAGGTACATAAATGATTGGCATTTACAAAATGGCTGCGTACAGTCACCCACTTGTACTGGTTCCCCGGGCATGCGAAAGCAAGGGGGATTTTACAGTTGGGGGTTTTGAAGTTAATAAATGTCCATGTGCATGAGGCCTTAAGACCAGTTATAGACTGCATTGTGTTTTTGTTTTTGTTTTTTTTTGTTTTTGGTCCCTTTTAACCACTTGAGAACTAGTGCATATATATACACACCCAGGCTATTTTTTTATCTTTCAGTGCTGTAATAATATGACTGACAAATACTATATATACTTATTAACCAATGAAAAAAAAATCTTGCAACATGTGTAGCATATTGGTATTCACTAGCCACTTCACCTCCAGAGCCCCTTCTACTACTTCGCCAACTTCTTCTACTACTTCACCAACTCATGTAACATGTTGGTAATCACCAGCCCTTTCACACCCAGAGCCCTTTCTGCTGTGAAAGCAGACTAGGGTTCTTTTCTCCTCAGCCAATGTTGTCACATTTAAAATGCCAATATATCATGCTGTGCTTTGTGAGCTGACCCACGACTCCCTGGGACCTGTGACCAAGGAGGTTGGGGAAGGGAAATGGGGGGTACTAAAATTCCACTTGGATCACCTAGGCAATCCAGGCAGGAGTGAGTACTTGCCAGAAATAGGTATCTACTCCCTAAAAGAAAAAAAACTTCCAAAAATGTTAGGTGAGGATTAGGAAACTGATTAGAAAAAGTATAAATTCTCTTTTCAGGTGAAATTCAGCTTTAAGTAGTGGCTATAATCTTTGTGAACTGACAGTCAAATATTGTAAACAAGCAGTAGTACAATAACCTGCCTGCAGTAATCCATGTTGTTAAAGTGGTTATAAACCATTACATATACCCAGTGAAGTGACTGGCCTCAGGTGATACACATAGATGAAACAAATCCTCCTACATAAGTTGTGGCCTGTATATTTACTTCCCCAAATATGTAAAGGGGTTAAGAATATCTCCTAAAGTAGTTTTGTTGTGTTTTCCTGTTTTCTGCTAATGCAATGGGCATAGAAAAGAATCATCCCCCTTTTAAAAAATCAATCACATTTTGTTTTTTACACAGTGAAATAAAAGAGACACTTTTTTGTTTTTTATCCAGCTGTATTTACTCAGTGCAACTTATACCATCCAAGTGAAAGAGGTTCATTACACCAACATGTCAGAAAAAAATTAAAAATTCACAAACCGAATCACTGTGTTGGAAAAAGGATCATCCTTAGTGCAGTATTTTCTTGATATCCACTTTTTTCTTTAATTTGCAGTTGGTTTGTTGGGATACGTTTAATTTGGCACCAGGAACACTAGGGAGGTTTTGAATCTGTCACAGGAAGGGCAATGGCTGTGATTTAAAAGATTGCAAAGATGTTAAAAATTGCAAGAGACACCTTAGGAAGCATCATTCGCAAATTCAAGGCAAAGGGCACTGTTGAAACGCTACCTGGTCGTGGCAGAAAGAAGATGCTGACTTCGACTGCTGTGCGCTACCTGAAGCGTAGAGTGGAGAGAAGTCCCCGTGTGACTGCCGAGGAACTGAGTAAAGATTTGTCAGATGTGGGTACAGCAAGTTTCAGCCCAGACAATAGACGCCTGTACACACTACTGCGTAATTATGGGTACTCATTACCAGAGTCGACTGCCCATCTACCATAGGCGTACCCCCTTTGTATCCAAAGAATAAGAAGAGTCGACTGCAGTATGCCAAAAGCCATGTGGACAAACCACAAAAGTTGTGGGATAGTGTTCTGTGGACTGATAAAACAAAATTAGAACTGTTGCCGGCGCCATGGATCAACGCTATGTTTGGAGGAGGAAGAACAAGGCCTATTTGAAAAGAACACCTTGCCTACTGTGAAGCATGGTGGAGGGTCAATCATGCTTTGGGGCTGTTTTGGCTTCTGCAGGTACAGGGAAGCTTCAGCTGTGTGCAAGGTACCATGAATTCTCTTCAGTACCAGGAGATATTGGATGGAAACGTGATGCAGTCCGTCACACACCTGAGGCTTGGGAGACGTTGGACCTTTCAACAGGACAATGATCCCAAGCATACCTCCAAGTCCACTAGAGCATGGTTGCAGAGGAAAGGCTGGGTAATGACATTTTGGAGTGGCCATCGTGTAAATAATACACACACTATCTGGTGGGCCAAACCAGAACCCCTCCAAATCACTGAATTCAGGTGTTCCAATCACTTCCTCTGGTGAAAAGCAGTTGCAGTGCGCAAGCCTAAGAATGTGACTGAACTGGTGTGCCCATGAAGAATGGGCGAAGATACCCGTAGATCGCTGCAAGACACTTGTGTCAAGCTATGCTTCACGTTTAAAAGCTGTTATTAACTGTAAAAGGATGCTGTGCAACTAAGTACTAAGATTGAATGTCACTTGGGGGTTGAATATACAAACCGATAATGCTGTGAGCACAGAAAAGACATTTGTGGTTATTTCATTACGAAACTGTTATGTTATATTTGTCTGACTATACAAGTGCCTCTTTAATGTAAATGTAAGCAAGATGACTGAAAATGATCAAAAGCAATGTCAAACTGGCCAAAACACTCAATTTCAGTGGGGGTTGAATAATTTTGGCCACAACTGTAAGTTGTACCTGTATATTTACTTCTTTTTAATATGTACAACCGTGATAAGAAGAATCTCCTGAAATAGTTTTGTTGTGTTTTTCCTCTTTTTCTGCTAATGCAATGGGCATAGAAAAGAATCATCCCCAATATTAAAAATCACATTTTTTGAAAGCAGATAAAAAGGAGAAACGTTCACTTAACCACATTTTGTTGCTTTACATTTGTTTTATCCAGCTGTATTTACTCAGCATGCAACTTATACCATCCAAGTGAAAGATATTACACCAACATGTCAGAAAAAAATTAAAAAATTCACAAATCGAATCACTGTGTTGGAAACAAGGATCATCCTTTGTGTCAGTATTTTCTTGATCCACTTTTTTCTTTAATTGCAGACTTTCGTTTGTTGGGATACGTTTAATTTAGGCACCATTCACACTAGGGTGTTTTGAATCTGTCTGGCCATTCAGCCTGTGATTTCAAAACACTCTGCTAAATTGGAAAAATTGCAGAACCGCGTGTTCAGGTGCCATCCATTTTATTGGCACCTGAAACGTGGTGCGGTTCTGCCGTGACTGCTCCATTGCTAAATCATGCAGCGGTCACGGCAAACCACATTGCCCAACTCATGTCACCAAAACTAAGTTCGAACTTCTTTTGCCCGACAAATGTGTTGTGTAATGCAGTTTGCTGCAATTGCTGGCAATTTATCAGCTGGAACTATTGCCTGTACACAATACTGGGCCTTTCTTATGGAGTACTCATTCCTGTTTACATACGAAAACCCATTTGATACAATTCTATTTAACTACATACCTCTGTGGTACAGGGTCTAGTGATACAGAACTAATCTATACAACAATATTACTGCAGGAGTACATGCCGTGCGCTCTTGCAGTTATCTAAATATCTGTGATTGAAACTTTATGAGAACTACCGGTATATTTTACTAAGTTGCTGCAATTCCCTTCACACCAGTTGGGTGTCACTGAAAAGAATGTTGTATTTGGTCTTATATGGAAAACAGGAGCATTTCTGAGGCAGGCCATCAGAAATATAACTTGTAGCTGGGTAATTATTGGCCAAAATGTAAATAGTTTGGATATTTATTTACTTTATTTTATTCTAATTGCTATATATAAATTTTTTTTTTAACGTGCACAACGGTGTGTTTTGTAAAGGAAACAGAGTGGTCCAAAATGACCTTGTTTATGTTTTTCTATTATGTTATTGTAAATGATTTCAGTTATGTTTTTCCAAAGGGTGTGCAACAACTATATTTAATGTATTGGGACACCCCTCCAAATCACTGAATTCAGGTGTTCCAATCACTTCCATGGCTACAGGTGTATAAAAGAAAGTACCTACAGTAGGCAAGCAGACTGCTTCTACAAACATTTGTGAAAGAATGGGTCGCTCTCAGGAGCTCAGTGAATTCAAGCGTGGTACTGTGATAGGTTGCCACCTGTGCAATAAGTCCATCTGTGAAATTTCCTTGCTACTATATATTCCACGGTCAGCTGTTAGTGGTATTGTAGCAAAGTGGAAGCAACTGGGAACAGCAACTCAGCCACGAAGTGGTAGGCCACGAAAAATGACAGAGCGGGGTCAGTGCATGCTGAAGTGCACAGTGCGCAGAAGTCTCCAACTGTCTGCAGAGTCAATAGCTAAAGACCTCCAAACTCTGTGTGGCCTTCAGATTAGCACAACAATAGTGCATAGAGAGCTTCATGGAATGGGTTTCCATGGTTTGAGCAGCTGCATCCAAGCCTTACATCAGCAAGTGTAATGTAAAGCATCTGAAGCAGTGGTGTAAAATACGCCGCCACCGTACTCTAGAGCAGTGGAGACGTGTTCTCTGGAGTGACGAATCACACTTCTCTGTCTGGCAATCCAATGGACTGGGTCTGGTTTTGGCGGTTGCTAGGAGAACGGTACTTGCCTGACTCAATTGTGCCGAGTGTAAAGTTTGGTGGAGGGGGGATTATGGTGTTGTTTTTCAGGGGTTGTGCTTGGCCCCCTAGTTCCAGTGAAGGGAACTCTTAAGGTGTCAGCATACCAAGACATTTTGGACAATTTCATGCTCCCAACTTTGTGGGAACAGTTTGGGGATGGCCCCTTCCTGTTCAAACATGACTGTACACCAGTGCACAAAGCAAGGTCCATAAAGACATGGATGAGTCAGTTTGGGGTGGAGGAACTTGACTGGCCTGCACAGAGTCCTGACCTCAACCCGATAGAACACTTTTGGGTTGAATTAGAGAGGAGACTGCGAGCAAGGCCTTCTCATTCGACATCAGTGCCTGACCTCACACATGCGCTTCTGGAGGAATGGTCAAACATTCCCATAGACACTCTCCTAAACCTTGTGGACAGCCTTCCAAGAAGAGTTGAAGCTGTTATTGCTGCAAAGGGTGGGCCAACTCAATATTGAACCCTACAGACTAAGACTGGGATGCCATTAAAATTCATGTGTGTGTGTAAAGGCAGGTGTGACGGAAGCGTAGGCGGGACAGAATGCACACGGGATGATAAACACACAAAGTTTTATTGAAATAGGTGAGGCTCTTAATCAGGGTAACAATGGTAGCGTCCGGGTACCCAAAGGGAGGGAGTCCAGGCAAAGATAATTCGGCACACGATAGGGCGGTCCAAGTAGCGATAATCCGAGCACTCAGTGGGGCAGTCTAGGCGATAATAATCCAGGCACACAATAGGGGCAGTTCAGGCAAGCAATAATCTGGGTATTCAATGGGGCAGTCTGGGCAATAATAATCCGGGCACACAATAGGGGCAGTTCAGACCAGCAATAATCCGGGCATTCAATAGGGGCAGTTCAAGCAATAATCCGGGCAGTCCAGGCAAGGGGAATATGGGTGCTCAACAGGGCAGTCCGGGCAAGGATAGTATAGGCATATAACAAGGCAGTCCAGGCAAGGGGAATATGGGCATACAACAGGACAGTCCAGGCAAGGGCAATAGGGCACACAACAGGGACAGTTCAAACACTCCGCCACATGCGGCTTGTAGGGACACTCGCGGCAGGTAGCTTCCAAGGACAATCAGCAGACAATCTGCAGGAACACTCACGGTGCTCAGCCTCCAGGGACGGCAGCAGCCAGCGGACAGGGACCCTCACCGCGATCAGCTTTCCAGGGACAGGCTTGCAGGGACTCAGTGGGGTTTTCAGGGCTCCGGGTATGACCAGAGGTATGTGAACTGACGCAGGGAAACGCAGGCTTCAGATATGTTATAAACAAACAATATAATTTATTAATACTAACAATACAAAACGCAGTGCAATACTAAAACATAAACAAAGTGCAAACGAACCAAACCAAGCCACCCACAGATAGCAATACATACAATGCAAGCGTAGTCAGGCAGGCCGGGTCAATAACAATCGGGCAGGTAGGAACAGGAGGAGCAGGCAGAGAGTAGTCAGGTCACGAGCTGGGTACAGCAACTAACGGGCAGGTAGGTACAGGGGGTCAGGCAGAGAATGGTCGGGGTCACAACCCAGGGATCAAACAGGAGAAGTCAGCAGAGGTCAGGATCAGGCAGGGTCGGCAACGAGTCAGTCAGGCAGGAACAGTAACAGGAATGCAGGTAACAAGATACAGGGGCCCATAGAAAAACACACACCAAGGCCCAGACTGCAGGTCTAGCCATCCCTTAAATACACCTCCGTAATCCGCTTCAGGTGTTTGGCTGACTGCAGGGTTGAGTCTCTGATTGCTGAGAGCACCCGCTGGCCAGCCCTGGTACTGCAGCCCACAAGGCAGGTGAGTCCCACCATTACTGGCAAGTCCATTCCTGACAGGGGTCTTGGCTGTGGGGTCCAGCCTCAGCTCAGACCTCACACAGCGCTTCTCCTACGAGCAAGGAACCAACTCCTCACGGGTCTATGGAGGGCTGTGTGTCTTGGCCGCAGCTTCAAGACTACATAGGCAATATAGGACCACAAGTCCCAGCAGTGCACAAAGCACAGTTCAATGCATCTCCTAATTAGGGCTCCACCAGGAGTGACTCTCAGCTCCTGACTCAAACTCTCCCATTCATAAAGAGACAGTATGGCCCTTTCAATTGACCATGCCCCAAACTCCTGGTGAGAACTGGTCTGGTCTGGCTTTTCACAGCCACAAAAGACCATGCTGTCTGCGCTCTCTGCTGAGATCAGTCCCATTTCCCACCCCCTGTGGGGCACAGAAACTCCAAATTGTAGACAAAGCAGACAAGCTGACTGTTTGGCCACAAACAAAACCACACACAAAAATAAAAGAATATTTCTGCTGTCCGTCACAGCAGGCATCCCAATACTTTTGCCAATATAGTGTATGTATTCATACCTGTCTGTCAAGAAGAAAGAAAACTAAGCTAAAGTGAATTAATTCATTTTTATTACGGTATATATAATCTCAAAATGGCTAAACTTTGAAGTGATCTAATTTTACTAATTTAAAGTAATTAAATTAACCCCTTGATCCCATACTCGCTGCTTATTGTTTTGTTTAGCCAGTTCTGTTCTAGAACAATTTTTTTCATTTTTTTTTGCATGCAAGTAGAAAAATTTGTATTTTTGGCCATAAAAAATACTTAAAACTCCCAGAACATTATATATTTTCGGCAATCAGCAGCCCTGTAGTAGTTTTGTTCTTTTATGTTATTTGACATTTGTGCAGCTGTGTATCAAATGCAAATTTTCAGGAAAAAATATAATAAAATGAATTTTAGTGCAAACACATACAATATACAGTAATAACCAATTTATGGTAAAATATATTGGAGTTTGATGAATTGTGTCAAGTTAATAGATACCAAACGTGTCAAGTCTTAAAACTGCATGTGCCCATGATATCACAATAAACTATGGTACCCAAAAATCATAATGGGTGATGCTTTAAACGCCTTTTCTGCTCATCAGTTTAGGGTAAACTGTGAGATATGGTGCTAAAATTATTGCTGTCGCTTCAGTGTTCACACGATGCTTCACATGTGGTGCAGTCATGGTTTGCATACACGTGCGTACCCTGTGCACGGGTTTGCCTTTGTGTTTTTTTTTTTTTTTTACTTTTTTAATTTTTTTTAACTTTATTGCTATTATAAGGGGGCTAGCAAACCCATCTGATGGCATTGGGCAGGGGTCTATTAGATCATTATATATTTTTAACTCTTTTATTTAACTTCACTGCTATTACAAGGGGCTAGCAAACCTCCATGTGATAGCTTTGGGCAGGTGACAGGTACTCTATATGGAGACATTGGGGATCGATTAGACCTCAAAGTGTCTCTCCTGCCCTCCAAAGCAGCTAACCATACACAGACTGTGATTGGTTCTTCTGGCTGTAACAGCTAGGAATTTTCAGCTCTGAAATCAAAGGTGCTGAAATCATCGTTGCTTCATTTACTGCAGAGGAGATCGAGGAACCAATTTTGATTGGTCTCCTCCCACTTGCCATCCTGTAACCTTCCAGTGTGGTCCCCGGAAAACCTGGTAACCAATGGGGGGGGGGGGTGGGGTGCCATGGGGGACTGAACCTGAACCACACACTGTAAAAGTGATCACTCGGAGTCAGCTGAAGAACTGGTGCACAAGCTTATAGTTGCTACTGCAGCCATGAGCTTGTGCTTAAAGTGGTTCTAAAGGCTCAAGGTTTTTACCTTCATGCATTCTATGCATGAAGGTAAAAAACCTTCTATGTGCAGCATCCCCCCCCCACAGCTCCCCTAATACCTAAACCCCCCCCTCTCGATCTAGCAATATGTACTGGAGTTTCGGATATCCCAGGACTCTGTCTTCTCATTGTCTGAGCTGGAAGTGAGAGGCATTGGCTCCCACTGCTGTCAATCACAGCCAGTGAGCCAATTAGTAAAGAGAAGGGGCAGGTCCAAGCCACGGCTTTGTGTGTGAATGGACCCATGGAGCAGCAGGTGCCCTCATAGCAAGCTGCTTACTGTGGCGGCAACCCGACAGGAGCAAGGGGCCAGGACAACCTGTGGGGGACCCGAGAAGTGGAGGATCCAGCTGCTCGGTACAAAACCACTGCACTCAGCAGGTAAGTATAGACATGTTTGTTAGCACAGTGGCTAAATAGTTAGCACTTCCGCCTGGCAGTACTAGGGTCGTTGGTTTGAATCCCAGCCATGGCACCTCCTGCCTGAGTTTGCATGTTCTTCCTGTGCCTGCATGGGTTTCCTCCGGGTACTCTGGTTTCATCCCACACTTCAAAGACATGCTGGTAGGTTAATTGGATCCTGTCTAAATTGGCCCTAGTATGTGTATGTACGAATGTGAGTTAGGGACCGTAGATTGTACGCCCCTTGAGGGTTAGGGACTGATGTAAATGTACAATATATATGTAAAGCGCTGCTTAAATTGACAGCGCTATATAAGTATCTGTAATAAATAAATTAAATATTTTTTCTAAAAAAAAAAAAAAAAAGCCTTTAGAATCACTTTAGCTATACTTAAACCTGCTCCCACCCCCATTTTAAGCCATATTTTAACTACACTGTACAGGAAAGATGTCTATAGTTTCCTATACTGAGGATGATCCAGTCCAGTCACATGATCTCTCTCCAGGAGCCAGCTTCAGTGAAGAGGCGAGATCACCCACAATGGCTGTACTGCTTGGGTAGTGACATCACCCATAGACTTACTATGGGCTGTCCATTGTTAGCTGTCCGTCCTCTACACTGAAGCAGGCGCTGAGAGTTGATCATGTTATAGTTAGTATTTGACTGGACTTCCACTTTAACCCTTCACGCTCTGGATGTACTACCTATATCCAAAGAGCTGAAGTAGTTAAATCTTTGTCCAGAAAAAAAAAAATATGAGC